TGTGTGTGCTGTAGAGACCTACATATAAATTAAATGGCGGCCTCGACACATGCCGCAGTCTGCCAACCCCATGCACCATTGACGTATGCATATATAGATATATATTCATAGATGTACATGTATATAGCTGTATGGCTAGAGGTGTGTGTGTGTGTGTGTGTGGGTGTGTTGGTGTGTCTGCGCACACACATTCATTTACCTGACGCATTTTTCCGAGTGTCGCCAACGATTTGCTCGTTTCGCTTGTTTCGCACATTTTTCATCTTTGCTGCTGCTGCTGATTTTTTGTTTGCTTAGTATATACCCTGTAAATGTGCGCCGCACAGTCCAACTTCACAAAGTCTGATAAGAATTTTCTTGAACTTTCCATGTGCACGTAAATAACGTAAAAATATTAGCGGAACGTCTGGAATCGAACACACTTATTCGATTATGCACCACAAAGTATGAAGCTAATATGCTTGGCTCTTTTGCCTCCTACATTACAGGGTATTTTGTGGTCGTATGTGCAGCATCCTCGACGTTTTATTTATTTACGTTGCTATTTGTAAACATCAAATGGAAAAACGACTTTTCTATGAAATATATAGAATTTATATGCCTGATCGGCAAATCGTCTATCAGTTGAGTAAACGTGTTGAAGTTCTTATTGCAAATAGTCACTAATTATCGATTGTCGTTTATCGAACTATCATATAATCGATTATCGATAAGCAGTTAAAAGTAATTCCTGGTTATCGGTTATTAATTATCGACTATCGATTGTTTATTACTGAGTACTCAGTGATTGATTAAACTAATTAATAGCTATCGGTTCTCGATTTTCTGTGATCAATTATCGATGATCGATTATCAGTAATCGCTGATTGATTAAGCTCCTCTATATTCAGTAATCGATTATCGATAAGCAGTCATCGATTATGCATTTAGTTGCTAGTGATCGTTTATTGATTATGAATTTTCGATTGTCGCTCAACAACTATCGATGATCGATTATCGATTATCGATTACCGATTACCGATTACCTGCTCAACAATTCAACAAGGTTATATTTTAACTGGGACATTACGATGCGGCAACTCGATTCACTTGCTTTTATTTTAGCAGTTTGTATTTACAGAAAGCAAGCAGAAAAGCACATTGAAAGCAATTTATGAAAGAGAAAAAAGAGGAGCACAAGAAATAACTCACTTCCAGCTAAACGAAACAGGCAGTCACACGAAATGAGAATGGAAATAAAAATGCAAATAAAAACACTAGGAAATGCCAAAAATTCCTAACACGAGCGTCATAAAATGTCAGAATTTCACAACATGAAATTGCAACGAGCTGCCAACGAGCCTCGCTCTGGTGCTGGGCGTGGGCGTAGAAGACGCTCGTGGCTAATCGGATGCACAAGTCTGTAATATAGTATAGAATAGGCCGGGTCAGCTCGCTTGATTGATGGGTCAATGGCGTGTGGCAAATTGTTTCTTCGTTACTTGAATAAGCCCGGCCTAAGCTGATCTGCTCGAGCTATTTGCAGAACAAATTCATTTCTAATTACGTGCCATAAGTAAATCGTTATAAATTACTCGTTAGTAGCTAGTGCTTGCTATAATTCGTTCAAAGTTACTTGTATCAACAGCTTTCTAGATCTTTAGCTCGTCATAAGTTACTCGTTATAAACGACTAAAATTTATATAAATTCTCTCCTCTCGTTGCTAATGAAGCTACTCGTTGCTAGAGGAGCTGCAAGTTCCTATTATACCTACTCGTTGCTAGAACTAGTTGTTATAGCAGCTACTCGTTGACATAGACGATACTCGCTGCTTTAGAACCTACTCGTTACTATCGCTGCTAGTCTTTGCTATTGAAGCTACTATAGCTACTATACTATATATATTATTATAGAACCTACTCGTTAATATAGAGACCAATAGAGAACCTACCCATTGCTGTCGCTGCTATAGAAGCTACTCGTTGCTATAGAACACAGCAACGAGTAGATAATCGCATTTACTCGCTGCTTTAGAACCTACTCATTGCTGTCGCTGTTATAGAAGCTACTCATAGCTATAAAAGTTACTCGTTGCTATTCAAGCTGCTAGTTATTATAGAGACTACTCGTTGTTATTCGTACTCTTTTGCAAAGCATCAACTCGTTGTTAAATAGCTTACTCAAAGCTACAAGCTACGTCTCGTCGCAATCTGTTTAAACGAGTCTTATTACAAGCAAACTCGTCAGACTCTCTACACGCTGGCTCTTGGCTAAAAAACTCGCATAGCTATCGAGCTACAACTACATCATAATCAGCTTCATTATCACCGAAGGCAGTTGAGATTGTGCTGCTCGCTCAAGCGTGAAATGCTCATCACGACGATGATCATCAGTGGCGAACAACATCAGCTAATTAACAACTACAGCAACGACACCCAAAGCAATTGCTCAAATGTAGAGCATGAATAATTGCGAGCAGAAGCAACCGACAATTGCAGAGTAACATAAAACCGAAATGCTGACAATTAAGTGATTGGCATTGATCGTGAAACTTGATAGCAACTGTGCCACACACACCATTTACATGCTCTCTCTCTCTCTCCCTCTCTCTCTCTCTCTCTCTCTCTCTCTCTAAATTTCTATCTCAAAAGCAGACAAACTGTCTGACGAGCTGCGCGTGGAGAAAGAGTCTGGGCAAAATGCCAATTGCAACTTGAGACATAAATTTGCATACCCTGCGCCTAAGTACATCTCTGATGTAGGGTATATCAATTCGAGCATAACACAAGTTGTAGTTGAAGGGTATCTTTAGGTCAAGCTCTCTCGATAGCATCTTCTGTTTCTGTTGCTTGAGCAGTGTCTCTAGTCTGGCTCTTTCGGCTTTCACTTGGGCAACTTTTTACAGGGTATTTGCCAGCCTGACAACTGTTGCCATAACATTTCAATTGCCTTGATTACATGCTGGGATATCTTTCAGTTGAAGACTCAACTGTTTCACTTTCATTTGCAGCACTCGCTATCCATCAGTGGCTTTTGTTTCTTTCTCAATTGCAAGCAGCTTTCTGGTCTGTTTCATTTCCCATTGTTCCGTTGCAGCAGCGTTTTATGTGCAATCAGAATTGGAATCAGGTTACAGGGCGTGCACTAGTAAAGCATTCAAAAGAATTCTTGCATTTGCTTGCATCAATTCGACTGTTTCGTTTCCAATTGTTTCTTCATTCCTTTCCAATTTGTCATCAATTTACAGTTACAGGGTATTACTGTACACATACTAGTGCACTGCGAAGCTCTCTTTGCATTGCTATCGAATTATAGAGTAACTTTTAATCGCACATGCTCCGCTGTTTCATTTCCCAATTGTTCCGTGCATGCTGCTTTCCTGCTACTACTTATGCCTAGACGTTACTCTAGCATTAGCAAACACATTTGGCGAAGTAAATCTTAGTGGGTGTGAGAGAAGGAGAGCGAGCGAGAGAGACTCTGTCACTGTTTCATTCCCAATCGTTTTCACTTGGCTGGTTTCCCTCTGCAATCTCAGCTGCCATCTTAATTGCATCTCATTTGCATGGCTCGTGCGTTGGGGCCTGTCTAATGGGGCATTTTATCAGGCGCTTAGCCGAGACAGCAACCAGTGCAAGGCAACCACCCAACCACCCCACCACCCAACCACCCAGCCAGCCAAGCAAACTGCTTTGGCCCGCTTAATCGTTGCCAGCTGCTTACTTAGCCTCCTCGTCTTGTAAGCCGTCGCCAAGGCACTTCTCAGTTTATTGTGCCACTTTTTCTCGCTGCTGCCCTTTTCTTTGTTTTTGTGGCTGTAAGTGGCACCACATTGCACCACACAGCTTGCGCCAATCGCTGCCTTTTGTTGCTCCTCTTGGAGTGGGCGGCATTTACTCATCCGGAATAAATAGCCAACAAAATTCCACCGGGCGCCGGCACAGGGGCCATTAAAAATGTGCATTTCAATTTATGGAACCACCCAACGCCCACCACCTACCGCCACACCACCAAAAAGCGCTGACCCACTGGTGCGAAATGAGCAGAAATAAGCGAAAACTAAAACAAAATCGCAGTGGGGCAAATCTTAAGTACTTTTTAAATAGTTTTACCAAATAGTTGAGACAAATTCCATTCGCCCCAGTGACAGCTGGCAGCTTTAAGTCTATATATATTCTCGATCTGCGGACTGAATTGGGCCATATCTATTTGCCCAGTGCCAATACTCTTAAGATCTTAGAGAAGATTTCCTTGTTTTGAATCATTTCTTTTTCCTTTCCTTCATTTCTGGGATGAATCCCTTTGCTCCTGGGGTTTCTCTCTTGTGATCTCTCCTTTTTTCCCTCTCTCTCTCTCTCTCTCTTTCAATAACTTCAATCTTCCTTTCTCTGTCTCTTCATTTCTATCTGTCTTCCTTTCTATTCACTCTCTCTTTCTCTGTATTTGTGTCTCTCTCTCTCTCTCTCTTTCTTTTTCTCTCTCTCGTCTTCTCTCGCGATCTTTGTATATATCTATCGTGCTCTCTCTCTCTCTCTGAACTACTAGTCTTTAGCTCTTCTAATTTCGCTCTATCGCTTTCTCCCTCTGTCTCTCTTATTCTCCAATCCTCTGTCTACGTGTTTCCCTCTCTCTCGCAGAAAGAATGAAACAGAGAAAGAAAGAGACATCAACTTTCCTACTTTGTCTCTTTCTTTCTCTCTGCCTTTCTTTCTCTCTCTCTGTCTCTCTCTCTCTTTCGCCTTCTTCCCCTCTTGCTTTTTATCTCATTCTTCCTCTCGCTCTCTCCCGTTTTACCTTTCCCTTTCTAACACTCTCTCTCTCCTTACCTCTTCTCCTTCTCTCTCTCTGTTTTTTTGGTTTCCCTCTACTGACTTGTCTCTGTCTTTCAGTTATCATTCTCTCACTTCTACCTTTTGCCTCCTTTATTCAATTTTTATTAAGTTCGAGCTGCTTCTTAGAGTGATTTTCTTCTTCTTCTATATGTATATATTTCTGATATTTGTTGATCATCATCTTGCAGAATGTGGTGGACCATAACTGGAAACTTTGGCAATATTCTGCCCATCGACTGGTCCAAGTCTTACACTCGCCAGATGCACATGCCGACCCTCAACCTGGGTCAGAGCCGTACAAAGCAGCAGCAGCAACAGCAGCGCAATCAGATGCAGCAGCAGCAGCAGCAGCAACAGAATCAACAGCAACAACAGTTGAACAGATTCGATCCACAGACTCCAGTGGATGAGTTTAACGACTTGGCCAGCGAGGATGAGGCGGTGGCCAATGATTTGGATATGCACGCATTGATCTTGAACGGCTTGAACGGGGATGCCGACGATCATCCCATTAAGACCGTGGAGGAGGTGATCAAGGAGATCGATGATATAATGGATGAGGCCGAGAGTCCGCTGGATGAGCCCGAGAACTGCGATTCGGAGGTCATTGAGAAGGCGCGCGAGGTGCTCGGCGCTCCGCTCTATGCAGAGAGTAAGTCTTTAGATCACACATATATTTGCTTTAGCTAAAGCTACTTGCACTTCTTGTTCATCTGTTGTAGAGCTGCAATACTTGAGCAGCACACAGCTAAACGAGCTGTACATGGAAATGGAGATGCTCATCCAGGAGCTGAGCGAGACTCTGATCAACGAGCTGGCGCTGCGCGACGAGCTCGAATATGAGAAGGAGCTGAAGAACTCCTTCATATCTCTGCTGCTGGCAGTCCAGAACAAGCGGCGACAATACCATGTCGAGAAGAAGCGCGGCAAATTCCAAGGTATATCCAAATCTGATATATATGTGTATATATATATAGAATTCTGTGCTAATGCTCATTTTGCATTCTCAATGCAGGCCCGGAGCCCAAATACTTGACTACAGTCATACCCTATCATCTGGAGAATGGCACACCCAACAATCAATCCTTGCAGGTCTTGATCAAAAGTAAGTGCAACAAGCAGCAGGAGGAACAATCGGGGAATAAACGATTGATATTCCCAGAAGATCAACAGTATACAACTTGAAGGGCACTTCAACGAAACTTGTAACCTTAGGATGTGGCATGGATGGGCGTGTCTGAGGCATCATAACTTATCGATTATAGATCAGAAAGAAAACATATTGATTAAGCTATGTATTTCCTGCTACCGAGTATGCCCCATGCGGCTCATGAACTTACCTCAACTAGCAGACATATCAGAGAGGCCTTGAAATAGTGTAAATTTGCATTCAGTACAGCAAGCATCAAGGCTTTATCTTAGATATTATCTAAATGTATTCTACATATCAAGTAAACATAAATCTTTCTACAAGTTTTGGATGTGGCTAGAAATGCAACGTTTTATAGATCGATTTGAGGCTTAAACAATGAATGAAGAATGAAGCTGCTATCGAAATGCAGCAAGGCAGTCTAAGCTGTGCCAAATTTATGCTGTTAGACAGTGCTCAAAAGCATATCAAAGTCTTACGCATACCTATATATCTGAATATCAAAAATATGTCTTAAGCTTTTCTCTATTTTTCGCTTGCAGTACTCAAGGCTATAAATGAGGATAGTCCAACAGTGCCGACGCTCTTGACGGATTACATTTTGAAGGTGCTCTGTCCCACATAAATGAATAAACAACAAGCAACAGCAACAACAACAACAACAACAACAACAACAATAACAGCAGCAACAACAGCAACAAAAACAAAAACAACAAAAAAAAAACAAAATATACGCTCTATCTCTCTGTCTGTGTTTATACGAGTATATATTATATATTATATTATATTTAATTAAATGTTTAGTTTATATTATATACCTTTAAATAATATATATATTATATATGCAAGATATGCGAATAATATATTCGCTATGATCCACAAAGACCCACTAACTAAAGCCCTCTCGCTATCGGCATGCCAAGGAGCAGGCGAGAACGAGAGAGCTCATAGCATAAATATAGAGAAAGCGAACGCTTTTTATGCAAAGCTCGCAGTGCACGCAATACTAAACACAAAAGGCAAAATATATACAACTTTAACTAAATAATAAAAGAAATATTTAATAAACTTAACATATTTCCAATGCAAAAGCCGCATTCTTCAAATTCTTGTTAAACCAAGCAACAAAATTCAAGCTTTGCAAAGATTGTAACATCTAGCATAGATATATGTATGTATTGTAATGCCATTTAGAAGACATATATAGAACAACAATTATACATATATATGTATATATATATATATATATCTGCATAATGTATTTGTTGCTAGATTTGAAGCGAGTTTAGCATAAGTTAAAAGCAAATACAACTTTATATATATCTATATATATATATATATATATATATATGCATATATAATATATATATTATATGCATATATAACAATATAAGCAACAGATCAAATCTATATATGTATATATATATATACATATTTATATATATATATCTGTTAACTGCTTTTTTGGCTTTTTGCTCGATTTCCAACGAGTTTTGCATTTTATGCATTTTGCTAAATCATCTCAAAACTCAGCGTCAGGTTTATGATTATGATTAATTTTATTAATACTATTACTACATTATCATTACTATTATTAATATTCTTATTGTATATTGCCAGCGCTAATTGTTTTTATTTTTTTTTTAATTTTTATTGAATTCGCATTAAGCTCTTAAAAGTCTATATTGAAAATACTACGTTTATTCTTAGAATTATATTTATTTTATGCTCAAGGCGTGTGTCATAAAAACAAAAGCTTTTGTTTCATTAAAAATGTAATTTTAATTTATAATATTTCGCTGTGTTATTTACTTTTTATTTTTAACAATAAAATAAAAATAATAAAAAAAAATGGAAAACCACAAAAATAAAATAACTAATATATATAAAAAAAATAAAAATAAAAATAAAAACATAAATCAATAATTGATAATTGAGTCAGGCGCACATTGCTTTTATTTAACTAATTATACGAGTATAATTATGTTAATAAAATAAATGAAGGGAATACATACATCAAACAAATGCACATACATTTAGCGTATATATAACAGTCCAACAACATCAACAAATACAACATTTATATCATGTTTCACATCTCACATACAAAAAAAACGACAAAAATTTTGTTTGCTTCGGTTAACCGAAGACTGAATACTCTTTTTTTTTCGAAAGCTACTTTTGAGACATTTTTGGTAGGCGTGTCACCACAATGCAAATCTTAGGTACCTTTGATAAAAAACAACAAAAATTAAATAAAATATTTAAATAAAAAAACAAAAGATAAAAACATAATCTAAAAAAGACACAACAAAAACAATATGCTTAAATGTTTACACTATATATAAACATATATATATGTAAACTCGCTTTATAACAATAAAAAATAAGAAAATATTTATTAAAAACGCAAAACTTTTTTAAGGTCTCCAAAAATTATGCATAAAAAAGGTAATAGAGCAAAAAAATGCGTAAGTCAAGCAAGTGTATTTGTAAATTTAATTAAAAAGTTTAAATATGCAGATTATATTTATTTGATAAATTAGTAAAAAATAAATACAAAAAGAAGAAAAAGAACACTAACAAAGCAAACATATATAAATATATATGTATATGTATACATGCAATGCAATGCTCTATATACAAAAGGAAAACAAAACTTTTAAATTGCTTAAATAAAAAACAAAATTACAAAAGCCAAAAAAAAAATCTTGTCTCAATTTCCAATTAGAGCTAACAAAACGAGCACATTGTGTTTCAATGTTACCCCATCAGTGCACAGGCACTGCGGCACTGGCAGTTACAAAAGTTATCGACTTGCTGCCACAATTTAAATATTAGCACTGGCAGATATTTGGATGGACATGGCAATCGTTATTTACGAGTAAAATATAAATCAGTAAGTAGTTTTTGAACTTAACTTAATTTGCTTAATTTTAAAAATACTTGTGTTTAATTTGTTGGCTGAACTTGTGTTCAAATAATTCAAACAAATCAGGCATTGTGGTTGTCCAGTGTGTACATACTAGCTGCAGCTCGCAGCCCGCAGCCCACATCGATGGTTAACTGATTGCCACCGATAGCAGTCGTGCTCGATAGCTCCCATCACTACGATAAATAGCCTTGCCTACCCATAGTTTTTTTTTTGTATCCAAACAGTAAAAATAAGTTTAATCAAAAGCATACACACATAAGTTTAGTTTTTTTTTTCGTTAAGTGTAAAATTTATTTATTTTTTAAGTGCGCGTTTAATAAGAAAATGTCATCGCGAAGGTAAATCCAATAGGAAAAAAGACAATGTACACACACGTACAAACACATGCAAACACATACATACACATACACACGTACATTGTCACACACATATGGGCCATGCACACATATATACACATACACATGCAATTCCGCACACGCACGCACACATACACATAAATACACTCTGGGTCTATTTACATATGTATGTATAAGTATATACAAAAAAATCAAAAACCAAAGCAGTGAGCAAAAAAAGAAACAACATTGAGATAAAAAAGTGCAACAAAGTGCTGAAAGTAATTTGTGCTCCTCCCCCCCACAAACATCGCCCCCTCCTCGCCTGCACCGGTACACAATTTGCAAAATGTATCGCTTGTGCTACAGCTACAGCTGTTGCTGTCTGCCACCTCTGCTGCTTTCTGTGCTGCTGTTGCTATTGCCTCTACTGCTGCTGGTGTTGCTGCCACCGGAACGGCACATCAGCATTGCCAGAGGGAGGGAGACAGGGGCATGGCATGGCAGGTGGCTGGGTCAGAGGCGTTTTGCTGTATCTGTGGCCAACCTTATGTATATTGTACCATGTTAGAGATGTGCTCACTCGCTCACGTTATGATCGCGCGACTCACGCAGATGTCCATCTCAATAGAATTTTCGGTATATCATTTTCGTGACACGATTGACGCACACGATGCATACACACAACTTGAATATGATTTATATGAAGTTTTGCTATAATTGTACTATATTTCAGATGGTTCCACCCAACAATATCGGGCTTAGAAGCTGAAAAACTATTACAGGAACAAGGTTACGACGGTTCATACTTAGCGCGTCTATCATCCTCAAATCCGGGCGCATTTACACTTTCCGTGCGTCGCGGTAACGAGGTAACACACATAAAAATCCAAAACAATGGTGATTTCTTTGATCTTTATGGTGGTAAGTGGACTAAAACAGCAAGAAGAAAGTTTTCTAGAAAAAAGCCAAAGGAATGTATACTTAATACTAAACCCAATTCGCTACCTGTTACAGGTGAAAAGTTCGCCACATTGCCGGAGCTGGTACAATATTACAGTGAGAATGGGGAGTTGAAGGAGAAGAATGGCCAGGCCATTGAGCTGAAGCATGCGCTCATCTGTGCCGAGCCCACAACGGAAAGGTAAGTGGTCAGCCAGAGCCCAACAGGCGTAACAGCTCCAACTAGCTGCAATTTCGGCACGCTTAACAGATGTTAACAGCTGCTTATGTTTACATTATGTTATCAATCTACCAAGCGCGCAGCTGATGGCGCAAACGATGTCGCCATGCTGTCTATAATACATACATGCACACAACACACACACACGCCCATACATTTATGTATATGTATATGCGCCTGCGTGTGTGTGCATGTGTTCTTTGCATATCTATGCTGTTGCTCGCAATTTATTTGACCCATTTTGAATTTTGTGAACGAAATATTTGAATATGGCAAATGCATTCATACATATGTATGGGCTGACGTCTTGTATCTATTTATAGATACATACATTTTAATATGTATATATGTATGTAGACTTTCTGTTACCATATGCATATATTACGCTCTGGGCGAGCCATGCATTGTCTTGTTGAAAAGATGTTCGACTTTAAGTGGAATCTATAATCTGAAATATATATATATACATATATTTGTACATACATTCTGGATCAGTATATAGCCATGCTGGTCGATATAGTCTGTGTTGGATTAACTCTTAAACCACATTCGATTTCGTATTTCACACAGATAACAATAGAGATTTCACGTAAAAGGATATTTGAAATGTAAACAACATAACCTCAATAAAATGAGAGCTCAGCAAACAGAAGTATATGCATACATATGTATTTAGTGAAGACTTTCTTTAGCTCAACTTTTGTGCAAGTTTTTGATTAAACAATCTATTGGCACAAGCAATTCGACACGTTGTTCGGCCTATAATTAAACGAATAAACATTACGCAAATTGTTGTTGCCAAAAGGTAGCTTGTTTTTTTTCGTCTGTTTATGGGGTGAGCGTAAAAAACTCACGCACGATCGCGCACGCGACGTTCGCCAGAAGACGCGCTGTCTGCGTTGTTAACATTGCGTGCAAATGTTAAATGTTATCAGGCGCGTGGAGCATTAACAGCGCCGCATAATTGGCGACTGTTAGAAGCAAAGTCAATTGTCAAAATGCGTCTTAAGGTCAGAAGGAAACAAATATATATGTTCTCAGATATTTATTTACTTATTCAGTATATATATAGGTGCATATCAATGTGTGTGTGTGTGTGAGCACACCTACCAGACTTTGTCCATAAATACGTTGCATTGTTGTGTTTGAGCACACACACACAGAAGTATTTTTGTTATTTATTGTTTATTAACATTTTTTTGTGCGACTGTCAAATATTTTATTACCACTCA